CTCCCCCCCCTTTCCCTTCTCTCCCCTTCGCACCCTCACACCCAGTCTGTCCGCTTGCAATCCCTCTCTCGTTCCTCCGTAATTTCAATACTACCCCTCAAGCACGCCTGCTTCTCTCTGGCCTGCCTCCTGCCTCCTCAGTTGTTCCTTCCTGTCAAAGGCCGCTGATCGTTCTTCGCCTGCCCAACCAACAAAATCGTCGCCGCCTTGGTTCCCCCTGCACAGCCGGGTCAATCAAACAATCAATCAATCGATCAATTAACTCAATTGTTTAATCAATCAATCAATCAATTAATCAATCGGTCAATCAATCAACCAACCAACGAGCCAATGTCAACCAATCAACCAACCAACGATCCAATCAAAAAAGCAAGTCAACCAATCAACCAATCAATGGGCAAATTACTCTTCGCCCCCCTCTCCCTTGCTCTCTCGACTACTTACGACAAACATTTAACAGCAACCCGCCCAATCCAATCAACGATAGACGTGCAGCCAACCAAACAATTGCAGACAGATGTTGGCCTCTCACACTCTGCTTACACGCAAACGACAAAACCGGACCATTACCACGACAAGAGGAGGAAGTAGGAGGAAGAGGAGGAGGGGGAGGAGGTAGGAGGAGGAGGAGGTAGGAGGAGGTAGGTGGAGGAGGAGATAGTCACACCATGCCGCCAGTCTAGCGCTAGGCTCACGGCAACGAGAGCGAAAGCAACATATAAACAACCACCAACTACCCGAACCACGTCCTCAAGCAGGGCATATTCAAACTAACACTTCCTGAATGCATCTGACCGCAATTACGGCCCGGCCTCGATGAATGTGACCGCATTCACGTCCGGAGGAGCTCAGCAGAAAAACTGCTAGTGTGATTATGCCCCCAGTGCAGTCATCGAACAGGAGGAACAAGGTAGACACCCGATATCCAATTCCATAACAAATCTACTGAACAATCAGATTCACTCAATTAATTAATCAATTAATTAATCAATTAATTAATCAATTAATTAATAAATTAATTAATTTACTTAAGTAATTATAAATGACAGCCGAAAAAACGAGGGAAATCTGATCACGACGAGAAGCGACGAAATCAGAAGGGAAAAGGAAAGTTAGAAGGGGGTTAACGGGCCTCGCCACACCACTCTCGAAATGGGAAAAAGACAAAAATGTGGCGTGTGCATCTGGTCACGTTGTAGCGGCAAGTTCGTTCTCATTTTCCAGATTTCGAGAGTGGTTTGGCGATGCCCAATTACTGTAATACCGCAAGCAAAACGAGGTAGCAAAATATTGACACCTGCAAAAACGGGCTATCACATTACTCTCTTGCACCTCCTCTTCCCGAGTACGGCCCTCCACTGCTTCCCCGCTTCTCCTCCTCCCCCTCCTCCTCCTCCTTTGACTAACTGAACCTCCGACCCCGCCCACTCTCTCTCTCTCTCTCTCTCTCTCTCTCTCTCTCTCTCTCTCTCTCTCTCTCTCTCTCTCTCTCTCTCTCCATCCATGCACATACTTCCACTTCACAGTCATTCCTTCAGAGACCACCTCTGTGTGTGTGTGTGTGTGTGTGTGTTGGGGGTGGGCTCTCTCTCTCTCTCTCTCTCTCTCTCTCTCTCTTTTTGTGTGTGTGTGTGTGTGTGTGCGTGTGTGTGCGTGTGTGTGTGTGTGTGTTGGGGGGGGGGTAGGGGATCTTGGCCTAACTTTCTCAGTTTGGAGGAGTCCACGTTACCCAACTCAGTCAGGGCAAACTCCAACACTTGGATTTTTTTCCGACTGAGCTGTGGACATGATTGCGGTCAAATGCATCCAGCTCGGGCCGTAATTGCGACCACATACATTTACGCCCCCGCCCTCACCCCGCCCGCGCCCAGCCGGTTCTTTTCTGTTACCAGCACCTTGCTTTGCCGCGCTCGTACTGAATAAGTGACTTTTTTTTTCGATATTAAATTAATATAATTTGGTTTAATTTTGTTTGTCGGTATTAAAACTTTTTTTTTTTCAATAAAAATTTGGACCATTTCTCGATTTATGAGTGTCATCCTTGCGCAGGGGCCATGCTAATCTTCTCTGTATCGTTCCAATTTTAACGGATGTCCCGAAGGACTTATTAAAACTTTTCTTATTATTACATTTGATTCATTGAGCTCATGACTCATCCTATCTCGACTCCCTTTTCCAACCCCGATCGGAAGAACATTGTCGTCTTCTGTGAAAAAGAGAGCGCATGCGACGGAAGATGAGTGAAATAACGGAAGGAGCAGGGACCGGCCGTAAAAATAAAGACGCACACTAGGACGTTTTTACTCGGTATTATATTTACTTGCATTTATTTCGTATGGTGGGCATAATTGGGGCCAAATACACGCATATCCGGCCGCAAATGCCGTCGGATACACTTGAGAAAGATCGAGCAAGTGAGAGCACGGCCTACGACCATGATAGCAAATCTGTACGTCGTCGTTTTCCATGGCCGAACTGGAACGATATTTTTTTTTTTTTTTCCATTCATTTTTTTATTTTTTATTTATTGGAAAAAAACGAGAGGAGATGAGGGGGAAAAAAAAAAAAAAAAAAAAAAGAGAGAGGAGATGAAGCACGAAGGTCGAAGGTAATAAAGAGAGCTTCTACCGGTCCAAGCTCGAAGGTCGTAGAGAGCTTCTACCGGTCGCCGAGACAAGGTCTCTTGGCTGCGACCGCTCGTCGTCGAGCATCCACCCTGGCACCTATCTCTATCTATCTGCTGCTTGTTTCTCTCTTCTTCTTTTTTTTTTTTTGGGCCTCGCTCGACTACTCTCTGGCCATGCACAAATAAAAACGTACGTCACTTCCATGTATATTTCCATGTTCTAGGCGAAGATTCACTCTCCTTTTGCACATGTCGAGAGGAGTGAGGCAAGTATGTGCGTGGATGAAGAGAGAGAGAGAGAGAAAGAGAGAGAGAGAAAGAGAGGAGGGAAATCTGATCACGACGAGAAGCGACGGAATCAGAAGGGAAAAGGAAAGCTAGAAGGGGGTTAACGGGCCTCGCCACACCTCTCGAAATGGGAAAAAGACAAAAATGTGGCGTGTGCATCTGGTCACGTTGTAGCGGCAAGTTCGTTCTCATTTTCCAAATTTCGAGAGTGGTTTGGCGATGCCCAATTACTATAATACCGCAAGCAAAACGAGGTAGCAAAATATTGACACCTGCAAAAGCGGGCTATCACATTACTCCCTCGCACCTCCTCTTCCCGCGTACGGCCCTCCACTGCTTCCCCGCTTCTACTCCTCCCCCTCCTCCTCCTCCTCCTCCTTTGACTAACTGAACCTCTTTATAATTACTTAAGTAAATTCATTAATTGATTAATTAATTGAGTGAACCTGATTGTTCAGTAGATTTGCTATGGAATTGGATATCGGGTGTCTACCTTGTTCCTCCTGTTCAATGACTGCACTGGGGGCATAATCACACTAGCAGTTTTTCTGCTGAGCTCCTCCGGACGTGAATGCGGTCACATTCATCGAGGCCGCGCCGTAATTGCGGTCAAATGCATTCAGGAAAGTGCTAGTTTGAATATGCCCTGCTTGAGGAGGTGGTTCGGGTAGTTGGTGGTTGTTTATATGTTGCTCTCGCTCTCGTTGCCGTGAGCCTAGCGCTAGACTGGCGGCATGGTGTGACTACCTCCTCCTCCTCCTACCTCCTCCTACCTCCTCCTCCTCCTACCTCCTACTTCCTTCTCCTCTTGTCGTGGTAATGGTCCAGTTTGGTCGTTTGCGTGTAAGAAGGGTGCGAGAGGCCAACATCTGTCTGCAATTGTTTGGTTGGTTACACATCTATCGTTGATTGGATTGGGCGGGTTGCTGTCAAATGTTTGTCGTGAGCAGTCCAGAGAGAAAGGGAGAGGGGGGCGAAGAGTAATTCGCCCATTGATTGGTTGATTGGTTGACTTGCTTTTTTGATTGGCTCGTTGGTTGATTGATTGATTGACCGATTGATTGATTGATTGATTAATTGATTGATAGATTGATTGATTAATTAAATAATTGAGTTAATTGATCGATTGATTGATTGTTTGATTGACCTGGTTGTGCAGGGGGAACAAAGGCGGTGACGATTTTGTTGGGTGGGCAGGCGAAGAACGATCAGCGGCCTTTGACAGGAAGGAACAGTTGAAGAGGGATGAGGCCAGCCAGAGAGAAGCAGGCGTGCTTGAGGGGTAGTATTGAAATTCTGGAGGAACGAGAGAGGGATTGCAAGCGGACAGACTGGGTGTGATGGTGCGAAGGGGAGAGAAGGGAAAGGGGGGGGAGGGGGGGGAGGGAGAGGATGGAAGAGAGTTGGAAAGGATAAGCGCCCAGGGTGACGGGGGGCGAGGGGGCGTGGGAAGAGGAGGGGGAGGGGGAGGGGGAAGAGGGCAGGGTGCTGGCGGGGGGGGGGCAGGGGGGGAGGGGGGGGAAGGGGTGGGGAGGAGGTGTTCTCCTAGGCTGCGAGTACACAGGCGGTAGGACTTGTTTCCCACCAGCGCCGAGGAGATAGCAACGGATTACGTTGTAAGTCCAGCACTAATTGGATTGATTGGTTGATTGATGTTGGTGGGGGAAGGGCGGGGGAAGGGGCGAGTTTCGGGGTGAAGCAGAGAGGGTCGATTGCCATTAGTGGAAGATATAGCTAGGTCGATTTTGAGCCGTACTTATCCTGCAATCGGTATCAGTCAATAAATCAATCAATCAATCAAGATAATTTCTGCAATTAGTCGACTAATCACTCAAGGAGTCGAGCAATCAATCTCGAAATTTATTTATTCTGGCGCGTGAGCATCGGCAGAAGAACCTTCCTTGTTGAATCGCTCGATTATCTCTCGCTTTCTGCAGCCCAGTTCCTTAGTAGAAAAGGCAATCAGACATCGAGAGGAGTGTTGCATGCTTCCTTGTTCACGGTCGCATGTTGAGAGAGAGAGAGAAGAGAGAGAGAGGTGAAGGGTCTACCACGTTCACTTTTCAGCGGGATTTTGAGAGGGGTGGGGTGGGGATTGGGGGGGGAGGGCAGGGGGCGAAGGCATGTAAGGTAATTGAAATTTCCTGCCAGGAAGTAAGAATCTGCAATAGGTAATCTGCCTGGGTACTGCCATCGACCACCACTTGTTTCACCCATTGCAGAACACCAGATCCCACTTCCTGGCCCTACAACCGCCAACCATCCAGCTAGCTAGCTAGCCAGCAAGCCAGCAAGCCACACCTTTCAACTAATAGTTCATAAACCAAGGAATCAACCAACGACGATAAGACAAGTCCAATCAAACAACATTCCCAATCAACTGACAGGTTTAAGGGCAATAAAGGGCGGAACGAAGGGCAACCAAAACTGTCCGAGTTCCATCGCCACACTGCATTTGCAGCATCACGATAGTCAACAATGCCAACAAGTCGAGACAACTTGTGACACCGCTTTGGTGGTTGGCTGCAATTGAGAAGTCCTGCCGCAGGCAAGATTTCAAGAGAAAGATTTACGCCCATTCCTGCACCCGCCATGGCAGAATGATCGGGTGAAAGAGTGCTCAGGACCAAAGGCCTCTAATGCATCGCAGTGTCGCCAATTGAACCCCCTAGTCATTTCTTCTCACCATGTTGCATTGGCTGGAGGTGAATCTCTCCGCTCGTGCCTGCCCTAACCCTGGAAAAAAACACACAGCAAAAGATCAGCATGACCTGCTTCATCAAGAGCAACAATACCACCTCCTTATATTCCCAGAGTAAGAATCACGTACCCGCAATGCTGACCACCCCTCACATACACACACACACACACCTGCCCATGTGCGCACACACGCACGAACACACACGCACACACACACACAACTGCCCGCCCATGTGCACGCGCACGCACGCACACACGCTTGCACGCACACACGCATGCACACATGCACACGCGCACGCGCGCGCACACACACACACACACACAATTAGTTTTATACATCTGTTTTCCTGTTTTCTTTGTATGTCTCTTTTCCCCATCTTTTCTAAATATTTATCTGTATGTCTAATTGAGCACCTCTAAGAAGTGCCAAACAGTCGGTAGCTGGCTGTTTGAAGTGCCTGCAGGACTATTAGGGAGGGGGACGGGGGGACGGGG